TCAGTCACAGACTTCATTGGGTGTCGGGTTATGTGGCTTGGCTTGATGCCTGCCTAATTAGGGAGTGGTTTATTCATAACTTTTCTGAGAAAAAGGTAGTAGCTTTTCTGGAATCACTGTCCCTCTTTATTTTCTGGCTTTTTAGGATAGGTCTAGTCATTGCCATGGTTACTCTAAACTGTCATGATGGGAGTGTCATCTAGCATGCTAATGAGATAGGTGTTAGACTCCATCCACTTAAAGGTAGATAAGGTGGGGGCCCTGAAAGGAAGCCACTGTGTTTTTCTTCTTAATGAAGTCTCTGTGTTTTTCCTCTATGGTCTGGTTAATGTATAAAAGACACCTCTTTTACATGTCTCTAAAGAATTTGTAACTCCTTGCTAATAAGGTAGGAGATAGAGATAATGAGCACACAGACAGGGTACAGGCCCAAGATAGAGTTATAATGGTTAAGTTTTCCAGCCAAAAGCTAGCTGCATTGGGACTCAAAACAAACAAACAACAAATAAACAAACAAACACCATAGCTAAGGGCCACAGTTTCTGTTGCCAGAGAGACAGAAAGTGAGAAATAACCCCCCAGGGGGGATGGCTCCTCCTGCAATCCCTTCTCTTTCATTCTCCTCTCGGGATCTTGGGCATGCACACACACACGCCCAGTGTGAGTTTAAGCCACCAGATCTGGGACTCGAACCGTGGTTGACTACATGGGAATTCAGTGATACAACCATTACACTAACTGCTGGTCCCAAGTAACTATATTCTAATAAGAACTACAGAATGCTAAAGTCTGCTGAACTCACAAAGAATGGGCTAATAAATTACTCAGACTACTATATAACTATTTTCTAAAGCCCACTTTCTTATCAGAAGGCCAGTCCATTGCTCAGACCCCTAGATGAAAACTCCTTGTTGCCACTTCCTCTTCAGCAACCTATGCGGGACCCTTCCCTGTTTGGGAACTTATGTTCTTCCATCTTTTTATAAACTCCACTTTGCTATCTCCTCTCTGTGCTCACATCTCTAATTCTTCATGAGCATTGGATAAGAACCAGCACAGATGTTGGGTCTGATAACCAGTACTCCCACCTCACTAATACTATACAATGAGGATATAATGAATCTGAACATGGCTCCAGAAACACCCTATAATAGTTGATTAAACAACTCTCTGGGCTATTGTAATGATCTGTTTTGTTATTGCACACTATTAATTATCACATTTTTCATTGGCTCTGATGTCATCAATATAGTCAAATTCCATCAGGTCATACATCCAGTCCCACCTGATTTTTTTTTTTTTCAAATTGCCAGAGCATGAGAGAGACAGAGAGCAAGAGAGTAAGCATCTCCCAATGGGGTGTGATCATGCTGCAATCTCTTTTTCTCCATTTTTTCTTACCATCAGGATTAGGGGCATGGGCACACATGTGGTCAGGATGTTTTTCTTTCCTTTTTATTTTTTAAGCATGTATTTATTTATTTATTTGTTGTGATTTTCAAGCCTCCAGGTCCAGGACTTGAATCTGTGGTTGGCCATGTAGGAATCCAGTGTCTTAACCATCATACCACCTGCTGCTCCTTAGCATGATTTACAAGCCAACTGGGGCCAGGATTCAAACCATATGGGGACCAGCTCCCTTAACTGCTGAGCTACAGGACCAGCCAAAGACAATTTCTTCTTTATTCCGTCTTTTTCTAATGTCTCATTGGACTCTTACTGGAATAGTCTAAAATGAAATCTTGTTGGCAAGGGAATCTGGGAAATAAGATTTCTAGGCCTTTGAACATGTGATGTGGGGAGAAAATAGATGGATAGAGATGGAGCTGGAGACCAATACAAAATATCTGACACACCTTGACTTTATAAAGTAGCAAAAAGGTACCTGTGAAAAAAGAGAGGAAGACCCATTTTAGGTGCTGGTGTATAGGAAATGAGAATCTGGATATAGACTTTATAAAACTATCTATTGTTGCAAACCCCTTAGAAATTTTTCAGGTGATTGCATGCCCCCGTTTGAAGGCATTTCTCTAGACACTGTTATTGCCAGGAAACACACACCTGCCAGCCAGCTTCCTGAGGGCACCTTTGACCTCCTTATTTCTCAGGCTGTAGATGATGGGGTTCAACATGGGGGTCACAATACAGAAGAGCACAGAGACCAGGATGTCCATGTCCAAGGAATAGCCTTCTCTGGGTCTGTCATAATTGAAGTTGGCCATTCCATAAAAGATAATCACCACAGTGAGGTGAGATGCACAGGTAGAGAAGGCCTTGCTCCGGCCCTGAGCAGAGGGAATCTTCAGGATGGCAGAGATGATGAGAATGTAGGACACCACTGTAATCAGGCAGGGGCTCAGACCAATGGTGGCGCTGGCCACGTAGAGCACAGACTCGTTGACAGAGGTGTCTGAGCAGGAGAGCTTCAGGAGTAAGGGGACTTCACAGAGAAAGTGGCTGATCTGGTTGGGCCCACACAGACTGAGTGTGGCTGTCAGCCCTGTGTGTGTCATAGAATTCACCAGCCCACACAGCCAGGACCCAGCCACCAAGTACGCACACACTGTCACGCTCATGAGAACCGGATATTGAAGAGGGCGACAGATGGCTACATAGCGATCATAAGCCATAGCAGCCAATAAGACACATTCAGTGCCAGCGCATGTCACAAAGAAAAAGACCTGGGAAAGGCAGCCCTCGTAGGAGATGGTCTTCTTCTCCCGGAAGAAGTTCACCAGCATGACGGGAACGGTGGTAGATGTGTAGCAGATGTCCAAGAAGCTCAAGTTGCTGAGGAAGTAATACATTGGCGTGTGAAGAGCAGGACTGACCCTGGTGGCTGTGATTATGAGCATGTTTCCCAGCAGAGTTGTCAGGTAAATGACCAGGAAGATCAAAAAGAACAAGGCCTGTAGGTTGGAATGGTTGGAAAATCCCAGGAGGATGAATTCAGTGACATAGGTTTGATTGTTCATTTCAACTGGCCACGGCTACAAAACAATGAGAAAAAGAGAAACCATCATGTGACTGTGCTGAGAGCACCTCAAATGGGTCTGTGAACTTATAGGGCCATGCCAGGTAATGCTGCATATAGAATAGCCTAGATTGTGGAGAGGTGTGCAGGAGTGTCCTAGGGAAGACCACAGCTTCTCTCAAAGTTTCGTATGGCTCCTCGTTGGGAAGAATAAATCAAGACTTGGTCAAAACTCTCAACAAACTATCAATCCCTGTGTTACCGTAAACTCATTCCTCACTGCTCTGAAATATCGGCCCTTTACCATTGTACTTCATTTGGTCCTTTTTTTGGTAAATATCTTATTTTTATAAGTAATACATTTTCATAATGAACAATTAAGAAACTATGTTAAGAGACCCAGCTCAGTGGCACAAGGAGGATGAGGCTGCATAGGAGGCTCAGGTTCGATTCCCAGGCTAACCTTAATAAACTAGGCATGGTAGCACATGTCTGTGGTCCTTGCCAACTGGGAGGCTGGACAGTTGGACTGTGACAAGGTGTAACCCTGCTGCAAATTGCCCTGTCACCTGCTTCTCTTGCAAAAAAAAGGAAAAAGGAAAAAAGAAGAAAATATGGAAAGATATAAAAGAAACATCTATGGAAAAATACTGTGTTTCAATGTATAATTAAATGTACAATTAAATAATTCTTTAAAATTATTAGTTTAATATTATTTATAATAATAATTATGATTTTAATTTGCTACAGGGTGGGACCAACAGTTGGTGTAATTTGCTACAGGGCAAATTTGCTACAGGGCATGTGTACTCACCAGAGAGAGACGCAAAGAAAGAGAGAAAGCGAGAAAGCAAACTGCCAGGTCTGGGACTCAAACTGTAGTACACCATGTGGGAGTCCTGCATCTTAATCACTATGCCACTTGCTAGACTCTGTATAAAGAATATTAATCTTCTATATAGGCTTAAAATAGCATTGGTGTGGTGGTTAAGATTACTGAATTCCAAATGGACCTTTGAGCTATTTGAGTCCCACACTCAGTGACTTGAAAAAACAAGCTGAGCATGTGTGTGTATATGCTCAAAATCTCAAATCGAGGGAGAGATGGAGAAGACAGGACTGCAACATGTCCATTTCCTCTGGAGGATGCTTTATTACGTTCTTTCTCCCTGTCTCTCTCTAGTGAGCACATGCACCTGGCAAAAATTAAAAATCAGGAGCACTCATCCCAATATTGGATTTTATTCTATAATACAAAATAAATTTAATGACTTAAAAATATTTTTTCAGAGGGCACCTGCACTGACCAGGGAGAGACAGGGAAATTATATGTGCTTAATGCTTTTTATCAAGTTAAAGAGTTCCCTTCTACCCCCACTTTATTTATTTACAAAATTGTGAATAGATATTAAATTTTCTCAAATGATTTTCTTGCATATATTGATACATTGTGTTGTTGGAAAAGTCATGACATATTTTTTTTCTACAAAAAAATGCATCTTGATTTTTCTGACAACCTATCAATATATGTATTTTACTATTTAGTTTGTTAAGGTGATAAGTTTTGTTGATTGACTGGTTGAATATTGAACTAGCCTTGCATTCCTGGGATTGATCTCAAGTGAGTATGCTGTATTTTCATTTATATATATTTCTGAATTAAATTTGTTAATATTTTGTTGAGGACTATTGCATCTATATTCTTAAGGGATGATATTGGTCCATAGTGTTCTTGTAATGACTGCCTAGTTTTGTTTTCAGGGTAATGTTCACCATATAAAATGTTTAAGTAACTTTCTCTCCTCTTATATATGATAAGAGAGAATGTATAGAATTGGTATTAATTCTTTCTAAAATTCCTGGTCAGATTCAATGAGGAAAACATATAGGCCTAGATTTTTCTTTTCTGAAAGATATTAAACTACAAATTCAATTTTTAAAACATACAGAGAACTATTCATGTTATCTAATTCTTCTTGAGTGAGTTTTGGTAATTTTTGGAGTCTTTCAAAAAAGATGTATCTCATTTATGTTTTGATTTATTTTTAAGAGAGATTTTTGCCGTAGGGTATATGCACTCACCAGAGAGACCGAGAGAGACACAAAGTGAGAAATCACCCCCCAGGGGGGATGGTCATGCCACAATCCTCCCTTTTTCATTCTCCACCTGGGACCCTGGGCACGCATGCACACATGCCTAGTGTGAGTTCCAAGTTGCTGGGTCTGGCACTTGAACTGTGGTCAACTATGTGGGAGTTCAGTGACATGATCACTACGCCATCTGCTGATCCCTGTGTTTTGAATTTTTAACCATTGAGTAGTCTGTAGTATATTCCATAGTTACTAATTTAATGTGTGGTCATTATTGATGTCTTTTATTTCTGACATTATAATTCGTGTCTTTTTTTTAAGTCTGAGTAGATGTTTATCAGTTATATTGATAATGTCAAAGAATCGGCTTATTTTTAGTGATTTTGTATATTGTTTTCTTTTTTAAATTTTATTTTATTATTTTTCTACATTTATTCACTGTATATCTTTATGGCATACAAAATGAATTTTGCTACCTTGAATACACTGCATATCAGTCCAAAGACCTTACCATACACATTATCATCAGCAGACAATATATAAATTTTGTATCTGTTAAGTGTTTTGCCTTTTTTTCTCTTGATTTTCTTCCCCCAATTCTCCACCCTTCTGCACTATTTAGTTTGCTATTATTATATTTTTTTCAAGACAAGCTGTTTTATCTTTAATGAATCAAAATCAAAGAATGTCTAAAAAAATTTGCTTAAGACTTAAAGCCAGAAGAAAGGTTAGGATTCTGTTCAAACAGTAGGTAGGTAGACAGTAAAATCTCAAAAAAACTAATATGGACAAAAACAAATATGGACAGAGCTAAAAATCTAACAAGTGAACTGTAATTTTTTTCTGAAACATTTTTTTTTCTCTCTCTCTTCCCCCTTTTACCAAAGAGAAGCATTTACTAACTTATCTGCAAAAAATAATAAGTTTAGTCTCAATTTGGTCTGTTATTTGCACAAAGCCCCATAAGAATACTAATTGATTTAATTGGCTTTGCTGCAACCTTTTTTAGGGGACTTCAGATTCGACTCTTTAAAAAGCCTCCCAAAGCTACTGAGTCAAGTCAGGAATTTACCATCTGACTGTGCCTTCAAGTACCTGTAGTTGGAAGTTTTTTAGGTCTGTTAGGAAGTGACGTTCTTCCTAACAGACCAAACCAAGAACTGTTTATGGCACTAGACAATCTTTCCGAGAGCTTCTGTTGGCTTTCTTGAGATCAACCTTAGTACTTTAGTTTTCTGGTCATATCTTCAGATATGATATTCCAGACAAAGCCTTGGCAATAGCCAGTATTTCCACTTTCTGATGCAAGGCAACAGGTATTATTGCACTTGTGCAAACTAACATACTGCCACAAAATAATAATACTTGCAAATACTTTCCAATTCCAGAAGGCACAGGAAGGGAGAAAAGTTTATGTTTCAATTCCATTAAAAAATATATATTTTAACCTATTGCTGAGGCTATCAATAGTGCAAAAGAAAAAAACCTAAATCCTTAAACCTGGAAAACAAAGCATAGAAACAAATCAGTATTGTTTTAGTCAAAACTCATACAATTCTATTTCACCAGTCCAATCTCACATAATTAGTCTCTGTTCTGTTGAATTTGTAATATTGTAATATTACTGTGCTTCGATCTTTCCCCCCCTTTTTTTTTTGGAGAGGTTTTTGCTATAGGGCACGTGTGCTCACCAGGAAGACAGACAGAGACAGAGAGACAGAAAGCAAGAAATCACCTCCCAGAGGGGATGGCCACACCGCGATCTCTTCTCTTCCATTCTCCTCTCGGGATCTTGGGCATACACGCACACACGCCCGGCCTGAGTTTAAGCCACCGAGTCCAGGATGCGAACTGTGATTGACTACGTGGGAGTCCAGCAACATAGCCATTACGCTAACTGCTGGTCCCTCCATTTAAAGAATGAAAGTTCAGAAATATGATCTCGAAGTTATCAAAAACTTATATTCAAGGGTGCTTATTAGAGTCTTTTATATTAATTACCTTAAAAGAGGCAATTTTGAATTGTAGCCTATTATAAAATGTTTTAGAAAGAGCATCATAATAGAGCAATAAACTATGGACAGTAGCATCAGAATAGAGCAATAAACTATGGACCGTGAGACTTCATATGGCCATCATTCAAGATGTGATTTTATTGTAACCCCTGGACAGTGAGACTTAATATGGCCATCATTCAAGATCTGATTTTATCGTAACCCAAAATTGATGAATTTGATCATTTCTGTGACAAGCAACTTTGAAAATTTTTTAGCATTACAAGTATGATGAATAATATATGATTACATAACAGATATTTAAGAATCTCATATAGTTTTGACACAAATTTCTAAATTGAGAGCTAAGCACTATTTCATATTTGACAATGTTTTTCATATAATTTCCCCAACAATTAGCGTGTTGTCGTCTATCTCTCCTTTTAGACCTAGCAATCTTTCCTTCACATATGTGGGTGCTCCTGTGTTGGGTGCATAGATATTTATAAGCATTATATTGTCTTGATGAATTAATCCTTTTACTACTATATAATGCTGTTCCTGGTCTCTTTTAACACTTTTTATCTAAAAGTTTATTTTGTCTGAAATCAGTATTGCAACTCCAGTCCTTTTTTGGTTTCCATTTGCATGGACTAACTTTTTCCAGCCCTTCACTTTTAGTCTATGTATGTCTTTATCCATGAGGTGTATTTCCTGTGGGCTTTAGTCTATGTATGTCTTTATCCCTGAGGTGTATTTCCTGTGGGTAACAGATAAAAAGGTTTCTGTTTTTTAATCCATTCAGCCAGTTCGTGTCTCTTGACTGGAGAATTTAATCTATTAACATTCAAAGTTACTATCAATACTTCTGGACTTGTCCTTACCATTATATTAGCCATTTTCTTGGTTGTTTTTAATTCCCTTGTATCTATCTGTTTCTCTTTAGTTTTCCTAGTATAGCACTCCCTTCAGAACTTCTTGAAGGGCTGGTCTGGTGTTGGTAAATTCTTTCAGGTTTTGTTTATCTGAGAATATTTTTTATCTTTTCTTCCCATTTGAAAGATAGTCTTTCTGGGTATCATAATCTTAGTAGAAATTGTTTTTCTTTTAACACTTTAAATTTTTCTTCCCATTCTTTCCTTGCTTACATTGTTTCTGCCGAAAGGTCGAATGTTAGCCTGATAGGATAACCTTTGTAATTAACTCGATGTTTCTCCCTTGCCATTTTTAGTATCCTTTCTTTATCTGTGATTTTGGCCATTCTGGCTATGATATGCCATGGAGAGGATCTTCTTGTGTTGATTCTATTTGGGGTCCTTTTTATTTCTTAGGTTTGTATGTTTGATCACTTCTCTATGTTTGGGAAGTTTTCTGTAGGTATTTCATGGAATAGACCTTCGATGCCCTTATCTGATTCTTTACCTTCTGGAATACCTATTTGAATATTTGGGCATTTCATAGTATCTAGTGTTTCTCATATGTTGTCCTCATTTTTTAAAATTATTTTTACATTATTTTGGGGGGTTTGTCTAAGTCAAAGTTTTTGTGTTCTAGCTCAGAGATTCTCTCTCCTGTATGATTCAGTCTATTATTAATACTTTCGAGGGAAGTCTTGATTTCCTGTATTAGTATCTTCATCTTTAGGAGTTCTGATTGATTCTTTTTATGATGTTTATCTCCTCCTTCAAGTCCTGGAAAGACTTCCTCATCTCTGTCACCCTGAACATTCTGAGCTCTATTTCTGACATTCCTTCAAATTCATTTGTGCCATCCATAGTTGAAGAAGAGTGGCTCTGTTCCATTGAGGAAGAGGAGTTTCTTTGTTTTTCCTGACTTTCTGTGCCTGTGCACTGGCTTCTAGTCATCCGGTGAATTATATACTGCTGCCCGTTTTCTGTTGTCAAGTCTATGTGTCGGTGGAAAGAAGAGCTCTACTTTTCAGATGTGTTCTTGGTAGAGGGCCTTGTCTTCCACTCACAGTGTGTGTATAGCCACCTTTAGGTGTTGCTTCCTTTTCCAGACTCTTGAGACCAGGTGCACCTGGGGCTAACCTGGAGATTGTCAGATGGAAGAGGGGAAAGGAACTGCACAGCACGTTGTGCCCCACGTTTCAGTAAACTAAGAAGCCACAGAATATTCCTGGGACAAGTTGGCAGGCAGAAAAAAGATTGGAGCAGTCTCCTGAGATGGCTTCCCTCAGCAAGTGCTTCTTCTTCCTCGTCTGCGGCATCACAAGCTCTTGGGGAAATGGCGGTGGATGGATGAACCTGGGACGAGTTGGGAGGCAAGAAGAAGCCTGGAGCAGTCTCCTTCCTTGGCTTCCCTGACCGAGTCTTGTGTATTGTTTTTGATTTCATTGATTTCTTTTCTAATCTTTGTTAGTTTGTTACTTTGGTTTACTTTGGGTTTAATATACTGTCCCTTTTTGCTTGATGATGAAAATTTAGGTTACTTATTTTTAGTATAAGATTTTCTAATATAAACATTATATATTATAAAATTTTGTCTAAATCGAAGTTCAGCTGTATTCCACATATTATGCTATGTAATGTTTTGATTTTTCTTTTGGTTTGAAATAATTTTAAATTTTTAAAAATATTTTTTCTTTGTCCCATGAATTATTTTAAAACATGCTATTAATGTCCAAATATTTAGTGATTTTTTCAGATAGCTTTCCATTATTGATATTCTGTTATAGTAAAATGCTTTGTATGGTATTTATACTAATAAGAAAGGAATATTGGAGTTGTTAACTTACAATTTTGCATTAGTTTATTTTTCCTTTTGGATATCTCTGTTTTGAACTCTTATGATTTGAAGTTCTTTCTCAGGTGCATAAGCATTAAGGATCATTATGCATTCTTAGAGATTTGATTTCTGTATTGTTTGAATGTTTATTCCTTTCAAAGCACATGCTGAACTTTAATTGCTATGTGGTGGTATTAAGAAATGGGATCTGTTAGGGTTGATTAGGTCATATGGGTTCCACTCTTATGGTTAGGATTGGTGCTGCTATAAGAGGGTATGTTCAGCCCCCTCTAGCTCTCTGATCCTTCTGCTTTCGGTCATGGGGTGATATAGCAAAAGGCTCTTGCCAGATTCTTGCCCCTTGAGCTTGAACTTCTCAGCCTCTAGACTGCGAGCATTAATACATTTCTGTTCATTATAAATTACCCATTCTCAGATACTGTTATAGCAGCAGAAAACAAACTAAAAAATTTTTGTCATTCGGTAATATTCCTTTTTATCCTTGAGGATTTTCCTTTTTCTCAGGTCTATTTTGTCTGAAATTAATGTAGTTACCTCATATTTATTTTGGCTAGCCCTTGCATAATATATCTTTCTCTATCATTTTACTTGTAACTCTTTTATCACCTCACATTTAAAGTGGATGTCTTTAAAACAGTATAGAGTGGGACATTGACTTTTTGTCTTTTTCAGTTTTGTTTTAAGGCACATGTGTTCACCAGAGAAAGATGTAGGGGTGGGGGCAAGGAAACATGAGAAATCACTCCTCAGAGTGAGTGATGGCCATGCCACAATCCCTTCTCCTCCAATCACCTTGGGATTTTGGTCACACATGAACATGTGCATGGCATGATTTTCTTTCTTTCTTTCATTTTTGAGGGATTTTTGCTATAGAAATCATGCATTCACTGGAAAGACAGAGACAGAAAGTGAGAAATTGCCCCCCCCACACCCTTGTCCAGGGGGATGGCCATGCTGCAATCTTTTCTCCTTTATTCTCCTCTTGGGATTTTGGGCACACATGTACACATGCCCAGGCATGTGTTTTAAACTGCTAGTCTGGGACTTGAACCATGTGGGAGTCCAGCAACATAACCATGATGCCATGCACTGTTCCTGCTTGTGTTGTTTTAATTGTGACAAGAGAGAAGATCCTGAGGTCTCTGCAACACCAGTGAATGTCTCTGAGAGCTCTGTCACCACCAGCTGAGGAAGGACTGCCAGAATCTGAGTTCTGCGATCTTCTTCACCTACAGCTGCTCCTGGAGATTCCTGGATCCCCTGATCCTGAAGATAGGAATCTAGGTTGCGAGGATCTGGTGGGCCAATCTTAGCAGTTGCTGTTAAGCTTTAGAAGATTAATTTTAAGGAGCCTGTTGACTTCTACATCTAGCCTCATTAGCCATCTCAGAGAAGGTAGCCGGGAATCGGCTGCATTGAGGGAAAGGACTAAACTGTGTAAGGTTGTGTCTAAATATAAACTGTGGAAAATAAATATGCCTAGAGGTCTTAAAAGAGGATTTTTGTTTGTTTGTTTGGCAATAAATGAAATGCATTGTTAACTAACCTTAAGGGATTTATTTCCTCAAAGGAAACAAAATGGGCATAAACTAAACTAGAGTAACTGGTATGATTGTAAAAACCCTACAGCACATCAGGGAAACATCTACTCAAATTTTATTTCAAGAACACAAAGCAATATTAAAAATTTTGATCTGATGTTCATGGTGCCCAGTAAATTGCTGATCAACCTAAAACACACACACACACACACACACACACACACACACATACCCACGGACATACCAGTTTGCAAGATAATTTATCTAAAAGAATGTCCAAATGATCTGTGGATATTTCAAAATGATTGTGGCAAAACTGATGTACTGCTATGAAAAATACAATTTCCTTTCTCTGGGCCTAGATTTCTGTTAGTACACTCGCCTGTACTATGAGTGACTAGGACCAGATGGAATATCCAGAAGTCCTCACCCAGGCTAGTGCTTTAAGCTTTCATGTGCATGTAAATCACATGCATTTTCAATGAACTTCCAGGTGACACCAGCCCTGCTGGTCCAGGGGACTGTGCATTAGTGGTTAAGTCTGAGCTATTCCTATCGAGCTACACTTACCCCTAACTAGTTGGTTAAAAGTCTTTTCTTAACAAATTCACCAGGAAAAATTCTCCATCCTATCTCAGAAATTAATTCTAGCATTTAACATTTCTTTCATCCCTTTATACCTTATCCGTACTTCTCTTAGTGTAAAGGGAAAGGGAAGACAAATGACTATCTCTTAGGAAATATAAGAACCTTGCAGCTATAAAATCCACCAAGCTATGAAATTCTCATTTTCTTTCAGCATTTCAAACAATTTTTTCTTGGCAGTTGCTAGTTTTCTATTCAAACCAATTCTGTTCCTTATAGGGTCTAATGCAACTCTGTGCTAACAATTATTAGATACCCAAAGGGGAGTAAGATATGATCCCTCTCTTCAATGAGCTTAAAATCTAATGGGAAGAGGGATCAAAAGTAAGCATAATGGCTATGTCGCTGGACTCCCATGTAGTCGACCTAGGTTTGATTCCGGAACCCGGTGGCTTAAACTCATGCCAGGCATGTGTGTGCCCGCCCAAGATCCCAAGAGGAAAATGGAGAAGGGATGGCAGTGTGGTCATCCCCCTGGGGATTTCTCGCTTTTTGTCTTTCTGTCTCTCTCTTTCTAGCGAGTGTACGTGCCGTATAGCAAAAACCTCTCCAAATAAATAAATAAATAAATAAATAAATAAATGAAATAAAATCGAATGGGAAAATAAATTATGATGTGAGACAGAAAGCTTTGTAACATTTTGTTTACCGCTAACATTATTACTGGCTTTTTTACTTGTCATTGGTCTGATGGTTCTGCTTGAACACTCTAGACTAGAACACTCATTACTTGCTGGGAGCTCCTCATTCCATGTCAAATGCGAACTCTCTGAGGTCAGCCTGGCCTTTTAATTCTGCATTAAAAACTAGCCTGGGGCCTTGTGTAGTATGCTCTCAATAAATGGCTGATGAAAAATGAAATGTTGGACACTATGGGAACAGGCATATCGAAATTTTTCTATAGACATTATTGTAGTGAACTCTAAAGGATTTAAACAGAGATGCTGGGATGGACATTTCAGAGAGAAGGCAGGGGCGTAAAGGCATAGGGGGCCGGGTGCCCAGAATTGTGTCTTCCCTTCTAAATTGTTCCAAATTTTGCCCCTCTCACATTTGACTCAAGTCACATATCCCATTAACAATATGAAAAGAGTAATGCTATAGATTTGTTTCTATTGGGCTCCCATTTCATTATTTCTGGAACATTCACTCCAGAACAGAATAATTCATTTCTTTATTTCTCAGGTTGCTCAGTGAGGTCCCTTCCATCTCAACAGTTTGTGGTGATGATTATATGACCTTGTTTTCTCACCTTCTCAGCTTTGGGCACCTTACTGGAAAAATCTGTGATTAGCCAGATGACACCCCCTCAAAGGAGGGCACTGTGTTTTCCAAGCAACTTGTGCATATTGCTAACACCATTGTTAGACCTTCCATTTAATACTTGCTGAGACACGCTATGTGCCCGGCAATCTTTATGGATGACCCTATTAACTGTCCAAACAACATAAATATGTAACTACTGTTATTAACTCCATTTTACAGATGAGAAAATTGAGTCTTCGAGAGATTATCCTAGTTGTCTGAATTCAGAGCTTCAGTTCTGACCACTGGGTAGCACTCCCATCTCATGCTTACACAGAGATATGCAAGGACCTGCTCCAACTCTGCTTCTTTGCTTCATTTCAAGTATTTCTTGGTAACCCACTTGGCATATTGATCTGAAATATCTTTACCTTTCTACTTAGCTGAAACATGTAGATATACTTATCAAGGTTTGATATCTATTCTTTTTTTAAAAAATTATTTATTATTGTCATCATTATTTTTAAAATTTGCAATAGGGCACGTGCACTTACCAGAGAGAGACAGACAGAGAGAGAAAGAGGGGAAGTGAGAGCAAGCCGCCAGGTCTGAGACTCAAACCATGGTCAGCTATATGCGATTCCCCCAACTAAAACACCATACCACCTCCTGGATCCTTTTCTTTTTTAGAGAGAGATTTTTGCTATAGGGTATGTGTGCTTGCCAGAGACACAGAGAGAGACAGAGACAGAAAGTGAAAAATTACTCCCCCAGGGGGATGGCCA